CATTACACTAGTGAAGTGAAGATACTACTCAAAACACAAGACAGAGGCTAAGCAATAAACTGGTTAAAAGCAAGTGTAGTCTGGAAGGAATTCCAGGCGCTTTCGTGATTTCATTGAACAGACAGATATTTAGACCAACCGACATAACTAGATCGTCTGATAAGAATCTTATAAAAGAAACCTAGAATACGAATAACATTTATTTCTGTTACAAACGCAATGACATAATTTATATAAGTCCCTTTTATTTGCAGGTGACTGTAAGTAATTCATTTACTTTTTGTTTATTTTTTTCTTTTTAATTTTATTATTTATATTATTTGTAGTTTTTTTTTAGAAAACACACCAAAATAAATTCGATCAATTTATTTAAATTAAATGATTTCATACAAGACATTATACACTTATTTGTATGTAGTTGGGTTTCATTTATCGCATTGGAATATTTCAACGATTTAATGAGAATTGCCTTCCTACACGACACTAGGAGCAAATTGTGTTGTTAATATATGTTTAACAAAATATATATTTACTTTAAATTGTTATTTGTGTAATTAAATTTTATAAAGGTGTCGATAATGATATTCAATTACTGATTAATATATTTGCTGTTTTAATTACTTTCTACATTACACTAAAGTGGTTTAGTAATGACTTGTTTTAAATTAAACAATTATATTACCCAGTGATTGGTGTGAATAGGGAGTAATGATTATATTTTATTTTTTCTATAAAGTTCTATAAATTTTATTAAACTACAAGAGCTTGCTTTTTCCTTCACCGTAGCACTGTGTTTTTATATTAAATTTACTTTAACTATCAATGACCTCAATTTACATAATTAGGTTAAATTGTATTATAAAATTCTATTTAAATCGTTTTTTATTTATGGCAATAATTTAATTTCTTTAATGTTTAGCTAAATATTTGCTTAAATATATATAAGTTTTTTAATTCATAATAAAAACAGTATTTGTTTACATTAATTAAACAAATCGTTTAATCAAATTTATCGTGGCAAAACAGATGTTAGATTAAATAATGAAAATAATTAAAAATTTATAACAAATATGTTTTATGCGGATTAACAGGAAATGGTGGGCAACATGTGGCCCATATAAATAATTGTTTTTTTAAGAAAAATGTATTAAATTTTTAAGCAAGTTTGTGTTTATAATTTAATTATTATTGACAAAATACTGTTTCTAAAATGAATACTGTTTTTATTGTTGGCACCTTGTTTTGCTTTTAATTGCGTGTAAATAATTAAGAGAGAAACAAAAACATATATAATATGTATCTATGTATGTGTGAAGCAATTTCTTAAGTGTTCTTTAAGTGGCTTTAGATCTTTTAAGATGTTACGGATAAGTATTTAAGTACTCGACCTTAGCCTCGTTAAAGTTTTTAAAAATATTGCAATTTTAAAGAAAAGTGCAGTTGAGCTCTACCCAAATTGGGGAGGGCAGGCGGAACTAACGAAGGAGGCAAGAACTGAACGAGAACAAGGAAAGAACGAAACGAACAAGAACGAACGAAAACGAACGAACGAACGAACGAACGAACGAACGAACGAACGAACGAACGAACGAACGAAACGAACGAACGAACGAAACGAACGAACAACGAACGAACGAAACGAACGAACGAACGAACGACGAACGAACGAACGAACGAACGAAGAAACGAACGAACGAACGAACGAAAACGAACGAACGAACAAGAACGACAACGAACGAACGAACGAACGACAACGAACGAACGAACGAACGAACGAACGAACGAACGAACGAACGAACAACGAACGAACGAACGAACGAACGAACGAACGAACGAAACGAACGAACGAACGAACGAACGAACGAACGAACGAACGAACGAACGAACGAAAACGAAACGAACGAACGAACGAACGACGAACGAACGAACACGAAAACGAACGAACGAACGAACGAACGAACGAACGAACGAACGAAAACGAACGAAAACGAACGAACGAACGAAAGAACGAACGAACGAACGAACGAACGAACGAACGAACGAACGAACGAACGAACGAACGAAAACGAACGAACGAACGAACGAAAACGAAAACGAACGAACGAACGAACGAACGAACGAACGAACGAACGAACGAACGAACGAACTAAGAACGAACGAACAACGAACGAAACGAACGAACGAACGAACAAACGAACGAACGAACAACGAACTAACGAACGAACGAACAAAACGAACGAACGAACGAACGAACGAACGAACAACGAACGAACACAAAGAACTAAGAACGAACGAAACGAACGACTAACGAACGAACAAACGAACGAACGAACGAACGAACGAACGAACGAACGAAACGAACGAACGAACGAACAACGAAGAACGAACGAAACGAACGAACGAACGAACGAACGAACGAACAACGAACGACGAACGAACGAAAACAAAAACGAACGAACGAACACGAAACGAACGAACGAACTAACGAACGAACGAACGAACGAACGAACGAACGAACGAACGAAACAACGAACGAACGAACGAACGAACGAACGAACTAACGAACGAACGAACTAACGAAACGAAACGAACGAACGAACGAAACGAACGAACGAACGAACGAAAACGAACGAAAAAAAAAAAACGAACGAACGAACGAACGAAGAACGAACGAACGAACGAACGAACGAAGAAACGAACAACGAACGAAGAACGAACGAACGAACAAGAAACGAACGAACTAACGAACGAAACGAACGAACGAACGAACGAACGAACAACGAACAAACGAACGAACGAACGAACTAAAACGAACGAACGAACGAACGAACGAAAAACGAACGAACGAACGAACGAAACGAACGAACGAACGAACAACGAACGAACGAACGAACGAACTAACTAACGAACGAACAACGAACGAACGAAGAACGAACGAACGAACGAACGAACTAACGAACGAACGAACGAACGAACGAACGAACGAACTAAAAACTAACTAACTAACTAACTAACTAACAACTAACTAACTAACTAACTAAACTAACAAACGAACTACTAACTAACTAACTACCTAACAACTAACTAACTAACTAACTAACTAACACTAACTAACTAACTAACTAACTAACTAACTAACTAACAACTAACAACTACTAACTAACTAACTAACGAACTAACTAACTAACTAAAATACTTCTTTCAACAATAGTGCAAAGAATTTAAAGTATTTCCGAAAATTTAAAATTTAATTCAAACAAGTAAGAACTCATGCCATGACCGACCGTATGATACCCTTCACCGGTGGTTATGTTACAAATTTTCATTATTTCTTCTAATAAAAAGCATTTAATTTCAATTTTACCTTAATTCACCTTGATTAACAATATGTTGACAAAAAGGGATTTCTAAAAGAGGGGTAATGTGGGGCAGCGAGTTTTGTAGAGGGATTTCGTCTACATAAAATTTTTATGCGGAACGTCATCGTGATATTAGTGTTTACAAACGAATTTTGGCCATCAAGTCATATTCTGAAGGGGACTTTATATGGGCGATAGGGTCAAATAAGTCCGATCATTACGGCAGTGTCATTAAGACCTATATAAAACTAAGTTCTGCCGATTTTCGAAGTAAGCTCAAAAGCCCTATTCTGGGACGTATAAGAAGGAATGTGCATTTTATTAAATTATCGTGAAAATTGTAACATGTAGCGTGCGCACAATGAACATACAGACGGACGGACATAGCTAAATCGTGTACTTTAAGGTGGGTGTAGGACCAGTATTTTGACAAACATCAGCACAAACGCATGATACCCTCCTCGCTATAGTGATGTAGGGTATAAAAAGTGTTTCTAAAGATTTTTTCATCACTTTTATTTATGTTTTAAAATTCAAAATTATGAATTTTCCATGTTTTTCCTGCTTTTGATGCTCGAAAATTTTCGAAAATTTGAAATTTTTTCGAAAATTTTAATTTTTTTTGGAATATTTGAAATTTTTTCGAAAATTTTAAATTTTTTCGAATATTTGAAATTATTTCGAAAATTTTAAATGTTTAAAAAATTAAAAATTTTAATTTTTTTCTATTAAAGAAAATTAAAATGCAAAAATAAATTAATTTAAATTACAAGATTTGGTAAATTCGAAATTAAATTAAAAATTTTTGTTCAAGTGCGAAATTATGAAATTATTTTCGATATTTTAAATTATGCTACATTTGGCCCAAATGCTTTGAAATACAAACTGTGAAATTTTAAAATTTTTTGTATGTTTTAAAGCCTTCTAGTAATTTTCGAATAATTTACCTTCTTCACTGACAAACCCTTTAAAACTTCTAAACCCATAACAGTTAAAACTCTCTAAAAGCTTTTTCGTTGTTTTTGTTCTTAATCCTTAAAACCTTGTACACCTTACAACACTATCCTTTTGACTTGAAAGCTTTGAAATGAATATAAACAAAACTGTTCTCTTTCATTATATTTTTCGCATGATAAACAAAACTTATGTAAAAAGCTCTCCAAACAAATTCCATCAATAATAAAGAAACTCAGTTGCGTGTGTACTCTCAAAACTAATGGTAATAGAACGCGGAGAAAACTCGAAATAAAACTAAAAAAGTGTGAATGAAAATAATATAAACAAGAAAAAATTTTAATTGAATTTTGCAACAAAATACACAAAAAAAAAGAGAATTCGGGAAATGTAGCAAAATAAAAAAATTACAAAAATTAAAAAAATATTACAAAAATGAAAAATCTATAAAGTAATGAAAATAGCAATATTTATTACAAAATTAAACAAAAAATGTTAGTATAGAAAATATTTAAATAAAATCATTTATAACAAAAAAGAGATAAAAATTAATACATAATTTAAATGGGATATACATACATATGTACATATGTATGTATTTTGTTGGATTTATCTTAAATCTTATAATACAAAGCCTACAATACAAAGAACTACACATGTTATCGTCCTGCTAGGAGGACTCACTCACGTACTCACAGGCCTAAAAGCAATGAGTGTAAGAGCCTATATGTGTGGGAAAATGAGTGAGTGTATTTGTGAGCACATGTGTAAATGTGTTTTTGTGTATTAGTGTCTAACAAATAGATGAAAATAATATGGGTGTCAAATAAGAATATACGACAAAAAAGGAAGACCAAAAAAACCACATTGGCAAAGTTCAACAAAATAAACAAAATGCTGCCAGTTATTCATCTGACTATGTCCTGTAATTTTTAAGGAAAAACAAAAAAATCCTTTACACACGTATGTACGTTCTCACGTAATGCAGTAAACTTTATACAGAGAGCAGTAGGTGGTGTAGTGAAGTGTAAATAATAGTGGTATTCATTGTTTATATTTTTTTACACCTACAATAACAACTTGTACAGAAAAGGAGGAAAAATAACAATAACAAAAACAACCAAAGGAGAGGTGAAAGAAACGGTTTAGATAAACAAAACAACACTCAGTCCCCAGTTTCTAAATGTTTTCTTACTTTTTCTCATTACATGTACTGACAGCTTTCATACAAAAGTTATTTAACCGGCATTATATCGTTACTAGAAAACATTAACTGGCAAAGTGATAATGGGTCAGCAACATGTAGACATACTTTCATTGTTTCAGAACAACGCGAATCGGATTTTTGAGATTTCTGTTGAAATTTGTGGACAAAATTGTAAAATACTAATCCACACCACACCGACAGTTTTTTAGTCTAGTCCCCAGTCTAGAACATAACTAGAACTAAAACAAACTAGAATTGAACTAGAACAGAAGTAGAACAGAAGTAGAACTGAACTAGAACTGAACTAGAACTGAACTAGAACTGAACTAGAACTGAAACTAGAACGACTAGAACTAGAACTAGAACTGAAACTAGAACTGACTAGAACATGAACTAGAACTGAACTAGAATAACTAGAACTGACTCGAACTGAACTAGAAACTGAACTAGAACTGAACTAGAACTGAACTAGAACTGAACTAGAACTGAACTAGAACTGAACTAGAACTGAACTAGAACTGAACTAGAACTGAACTAGAACTGAACTAGAACTGAACTAGAACTGAACTAGAACTGAACTAGAACTGAACTAGAACTGAACTAGAACTGAACTAGAACTGAACTAGAACTGAACTAGAACTGAACTAGAACTGAACTAGAATTGAACTAGAACTGAACTAGAACTGAACTAGAACTGAACTAGAACTGAACTAGAACTGAACTAGAACTGAACTAGAACTGAACTAGAACTGAACTAGAACTGAACTAGAACTGAACTAGAACTGAACTAGAACTGAACTAGAACTGAACTAGAACTGAACTAGAACTGAACTAGAACTGAACTAGAACTGAACTAGAACTGAACTAGGACTGAACTAGAACTGAACTAGAACTGAACTAGAACTGAACTAGAACTGAACTAGAACTGAACTAGAACTGAACTAGAACTGAACTAGAACTGAACTAGAAATGAACTAGAACTGAACTAGAACTGAACTAGAACTGAACTAGAACTGAACTAGAACTGAACTAGAACTGAACTAGAACTGAACTAGAACTGAACTAGAACTGAACTAGAACTGAACTAGAACTGAACTAGAACTGAACTAGAACTGAACTAGAACTGAACTAGAACTGAACTAGAACTGAACTAGAACTGAACTAGAAGTGAACTAGAACTAGAACTAGAACTGAACTAGAACTGAACTAGAACTGAACTAGAACTGAACTAGAACTGAACTAGAACTGAACTAGAACTGAATTAGAACTGAACTAGAACTGAACTAGAACTTAACTAGAACTGAACTAGAACTGAAGGCTATAGTGAAGTCTATTGTGTAGTCTAGTCTATAGTATGGTCTACAGTCTAATGTATAGTGTAGTTTAGCATATGTTTGGAATTTGTGCTTCAAATTTTTAAATTTGTAATGTTTCAGAGAAAACAACAAAAAATACTTAAGTATCCTTTAAGTTTTAAATATTTAAAAAGGGATTTCAAACTTGAAATTATCCTTTACACACATACAGGATTACAATTAGCTTAACAGGATTTTATGCTTCAAATAATTAAAACCTGTCAAGTCAGTGTGACAGAGCAAAAGATTATTTGACTTGTTTAACCCTTTTCATGTGTACGTAATGTTGTACTTGTCAATTTGGAAAAAAAAGTAAAATACATTGTTTATAATACCGTAAAATGCTTAATTAAAATTGTTTAGAAATACTATTTTTATTGTAGCGAAAACTTCACCTCAAGTATTTCTTAATAATTACATTAGTTATGCTAAAGTTTCGTTAAAGGTTAAGTTAAAAGTTTCTCTTAATAAAGTTATTTGTTTTTAATTTATGCTACAAGGCTAAATATTTGCACTAATTTAAAAGTTTTTGCTTATCAATTATTCCCAAGAGTATTAAAGGGATAATACAATTTCATAGTGAAATTTCAGCATTATTTGCCAAATTTTGTGTGTTTTGTAGAGCATTTATCCATAAATGTTTGCAATTTAATGTAGATGGAAAATTGCTTTTGTTTTTCCTGAATTTCTTTGTCTAGAATTAAAGAATTATTAAAATCTATTGGGATCAATTTGTTAAGTTAAATGCTTCTGCTATCCATTGTATAACAACTCCTTTATTGTGAGTAAGGTCTTCGAAACACAAATAACATAGCTCTGGTCAGTTTACCATGACTTATACCTCCGTTGATCCGAAATCAATATAACAAATATAAATGTCGTTTTAGTCCGAATCGTAATAAAATTTTTCACAAACACGTATCTTAACAACGTTAATCACAGTGTACTTTTCCCTGATAGATCCCTTATTGGATACAAAATTTGCATTTTTTAGGTGGAATAGATTAAAATGATAAAAATGTTGGAAAATGTTACAAAAATTATAAAAATAAAATTTAAGTGTTTTGTAAAAACCTCTTAAAACTAAATAAACATGCGATCAATATTTATATATAAAGTGTTTTCATTTCCATAGAACACACTGTATAAAAACACAATTAAGTCGAGTTTGGCATCATGCCACTACAGTAAAAGCTCGTCGGAATTGACAGTGTCCAAAAGATATAAGTTAAAGTGTTATGTTCGTCTATGGTGCATCTTAAAGACCTGTCATCAATAATTCTCTGAAATTAAAAGAGAATTTCGTTATAGAGGAATTCCATTTAAAAGTTAAAAGATTGTTACCATAGTCACCAATTTGAACAAAATTTTAGTTAATAACTTAGTTAGTTAGTTAGTTAGTTAGTTAGTTAGTTAGTTAGTTAGTTAGTTAGTTAGTTAGTTAGTTAGTTAGTTAGTTAGTTAGTTAGTTAGTTAGTTAGTTAGTTAGTTAGTTAGTTAGTTAGTTAGTAGTTAGTTAGTTAGTTAGTTAGTTAGTTAGTTAGTTAGTTAGTTAGTTAGTTAGTTAGTTAGTTAGTAGTTAGTTAGTTAGTTAGTTAGTTAGTTAGTTAGTTAGTTAGTTAGTTAGTAGTTAGTTAGTTAGTTAGTTAGTTAGTTAGTGTTAGTTAGTTAGTTAGTTAGTAGTTAGTTAGTTAGTTAGTTAGTTAGTTAGTTAGTTAGTTAGTAGTTAGTTAGTTAGTTAGTTAGTTAGTTAGTTAGTTAGTTAGTTAGTTAGTTAGTTAGTTAGTTAGTTAGTTAGTTAGTTAGTTAGTTAGTTAGTTAGTTAGTTAGTTAGTTAGTTAGTTAGTTAGTTAGTTAGTTAGTTAGTTAGTTAGTTAGTTAGTTAGTTAGTTAGTTAGTTAGTTAGTTAGTAGTTAGTTAGTTAGTTAGTTAGTTAGTTAGTTAGTTAGTTAGTTAGTTAGTTAGTTAGTTAGTAGTTAGTTAGTTAGTTAGTTAGTTAGTTAGTTAGTTAGTTAGTTAGTAGTTAGTTAGTTAGTTAGTTAGTTAGTTAGTTAGTTAGTAGTTAGTTAGTTAGTTAGTTAGTTAGTTAGTTAGTTAGTTAGTTAGTTAGTTAGTTAGTTAGTTAGTTAGTTAGTTAGTTAGTTAGTTAGTTAGTTAGTTAGTTAGTTAGTAGTTAGTTAGTTAGTTAGTTAGTTAGTTAGTTAGTTAGTTAGTTAGTTAGTTAGTTAGTTAGTTAGTTAGTTAGTTAGTTAGTTAGTTAGTTAGTTAGTTAGTTAGTTAGTTAGTTAGTTAGTTAGTTAGTAGTTAGTTAGTAGTTAGTTAGTTAGTTAGTAGTTAGTTAGTTAGTTAGTTAGTTAGTTAGTTAGTATTAGTTAGTTAGTTAGTTAGTTAGTTAGTTAGTTAGTTAGTTAGTAGTTAGTTAGTTAGTTAGTTAGTAGTTAGTAGTTAGTTAGTTAGTTAGTTAGTAGTTAGTTAGTTAGTTAGTTAGTTAGTTAGTAGTTAGTTAGTTAGTTAGTTAGTTAGTTAGTTAGTTAGTTAGTAGTTAGTTAGTTAGTTAGTTAGTTAGTTAGTTAGTTAGTTAGTTAGTTAGTTAGTTAGTTAGTTAGTTAGTAGTTAGTTAGTTAGTTAGTTAGTTAGTTAGTTAGTTAGTTAGTAGTTAGTTAGTTAGTTAGTTAGTTAGTTAGTTAGTTAGTTAGTTAGTTAGTTAGTTAGTTAGTTAGTTAGTTAGTTAGTTAGTTAGTAGTTAGTTAGTTAGTTAGTTAGTTAGTTAGTTAGTTAGTTAGTTAGTTAGTTAGTTAGTTAGTAGTTAGTTAGTTTTGATTACCAATCCAACTATTCGGGGACTTAGTTCTTGTCACTTTCCATTACTTCGTTTCTTCTATCATACTTCTATAAAATTGCCTTAAGGAGCTCAATGAGCTGCGGTACTCATAGTGTGTTAATTGCCTGTTTCGATATGTGCTTCTGGTAGGCTGTTTGGTAGCGTACTTGCCCGTCAGTCCGGATTACGTGGATTTGATAGTTATCTGGGTGTATTTCTTCCGATGTATTGAGACATGCATTCTCTTTTTCTGAGTATTTTCCAATCAGTGTTTCCTGAGCGATGTTACAGCTGAAATAGCATGGCTCCCTAGATATTTGGATTTAATTTCGATGGAAGACTGGCAACGACAGAGAATGTCGAGAGAGAAACCTTACATTCGTCTCAATCCGTTTTTCTGCAGAATATGTACCATAATACCAAACTAGGAATAGTTTATTCTGAACAGGCTTCTCGTTATGTTTTGAAAATTTCAGGACCTCTATATTGAAGTAGTTTTTACAAATACTGTAAAATGTCCTTAATCCAAAATTTTAAATGGCGTTTATAAAAAACCTAATTTAAGTGTCTGATGTGTTTT